AGACGCTATTCTTATTTAATTAATAATAACATGTAGATAAGGTGGCCGGGTATTCTGAAGTTTAGCCCACAGTAGCTTTCCTCGATCAAAGAGAACCAAATAGAAAAAGCCGAGAAAAAAAAGGTTTTTATCTTTTCTGAGTCACCTGTCTTGCAAATTTTGGGAACATTTAGAGCTACTCTTGCTTTCAATGAATAAGTTTCTTTTGATGTCAGTTATAGAGATGAGTCATCCTTACTATTTATGGTGAAGATGTACCTTGATTGAAATTTCCATTGCATTTTCATGTCTGATGCAATCATCAACAGGATCAGAAACAGCTGTCAAACAATTTTTAGAAAAACTGCTGCAAAATTTCACATCAAACTTTTTCTCAAGATTCTAAAATGTCAGATATTTTCCAATGTGGGTATGACATGCAATCCTGTTTGTAAAACACCACTCAACCAATCTTTCCAGTTGATAAGGGATTCAGTTGTTCAACTATACTCATGACAAATATCCATAAATTATTAGAAAAGCCATTCTATTACTCTTTATTTCTAATCCAAATTTCCCCATGAATTGCTGTTTTGAAGAAATTTTTTGCAATATTATGATATTGTTATTGATACTGAAGGGCAGACATTGATCTTTGTCTCAAGTAGTTACAGGACTCTCTTGCCCTTTGAGATGGAATCCCTTCCAACCAAATAATACATAGCCTTTGTATAAAACTGAATTTACTACAATTATGGTTGGCTAGTTTTCCTATGCAATTGTCTCTCTTTAAGATGTGAAAGCTATGAGATGTTAAGGGAATTTATTACATGACTCGTGAAGTCAGAGGGCCAATAACTAAAATCAACCAATCAAAATGCTCTATTGCTGGTCAATATTCTATCAGTATTGGACCGGGCACTGTCCCAAATGATACCGCACTTGGTTCCCTTTGAACTTCAGTCGTGTAATAAATCTCTTATTAACCAAGCTTGTTCGGGACTGTACAGGAAGAATATCGGCCCACAGTCTTTTTTGTAGGGACCGAGCTGTGCTTGGTCCGTACAGTCAAGACCTCGGGCTGATATTCTCCCAGTATGGCCCTCACGCTTGGTAATAAGATATATGTGTCTTAACCTCTGTGACTGGCTTCTTATTTCTCCTTGCAATGTCCCCCCTCCCCTGAATCAAATATAAAGGACATGAGAATAAAGGAAATGATCACCAATTTAAGAAGCTCTTGATTGTCAATCAAACAAATTCTCCCTCTCAGTATTATGGGAAATGTCATAATTATTATATAATAATAATAATTTAATATTTATGTTGTGCAAATTAACAATTGGATATGATCAAATGCACATCACAACACTTTTCAGGGGACTTTGGCCAGACTGCATCAGCAGTTTACAATCAAATGAAGGAAACTTATTTGAAGATGCTCCCTTCCCCAATTCCCAGTAAACAGGCCAGACCACCAGTAATCTTATGAGTGGGTACTTTAACATCCTCTACCTAACCAAATTAACTAATTAATAGATGCAGGAGACGGGACCACCAGTTTATTCGTCCTTATCGAAGAAGACTAGAATGTCTATCCATTTCTTGATATTATAGAAAGGTAGCACATTCTCCCCAGTTACTCTAAGACCTTGAGTGTTGGACCAGCTAGGGCTCAAACCCTCAATGCAACCTACTGCACAACATAATTTGAATATATCAACAAAGTTGAAATGGTAAATTGGCCACTGTTACGATTATAAAGGCTGACGTTTCGAGTGTTAGCCCTTCGTCGGAGCGAATGACAAAGTGCAAACGCTCGAAACGTCAGCTTTTATAATCATAACAGTGGCCAATTTACCATTTCAACTTTGTTGATATATTCAAATTATTTCGTTACCCCCACCGACACAGCCCCAAACAGTTTCTTTAGAAACTATCAGCCTTTATTCTACCACACAACAATCTGGGACTCTAACCAATTGAGCTAACCAGGAGGTGGTAAAGAGAACAGCGTGAAGGGTTTAATCTGAAATCTTAATTCCTGACCTCTGTGATAGACAGCTAACTAAGAACACCAGCCAAAAAAAAGGCATTGAAAGCTTGAAAATTAGTCTCACATTTTCATGAATTTACTATTTTTTAGATTCTATTCGCGAAAGCCGGAAGTACGGCAAGACGCAGTCTAGTGGTCAAGTTGACTTGCACAACAATCCTCAGACTGAAGCGATAGCTAATATGAGATTGTTTCGTGCACAGCGTAATATGTACATATCTGGATTTTCCCTGTTTCTGTTGCTGTAAGTTATGTTTTCTATGTTGTAACCCAAAACTGCCAGAAATGATTGTCACAGAATTTCTCTGCACTATATCACCATATCCGGTAAAGAGGAAATGAGAATAGAGAAAATTATCAGCTAGGTGGTTTTTTCGCAAGAGCACGTAATTTTCTTGACTAATTTACAGTTAAATCAACATTCCAATTTAAAATGTGATCTGGAAACAGTGGACAAGAAGAGCCACCCAGTGCAAAGTCTGTTGCTAAATTGTTATTTATTATTTATTTTTATTTATCAAAAGTGAGATGGTCCAAATGGTAAACTGCTTATTGTATCATCTGTGGAGTTAATGGGTTTAATATTATTGCTTTGAAGGAAGTGCATCCAAGGCAATAGGCAATCTAGGAAGCATTTTATCTGAGATTTGAGCCCAAAAAATTCTGCCTTGGATCTCTTGGTTGTCAAATTTTTCAAGATCAGGGGGAGAGTCTATATATTGAGATGAGGAAAACTGAAATTTTGAGAGCAAGTAAGAAAGAAATGAAAACAATTTAACATCACTTAATATCTGAAAACAATTAGTCTACAACATAATACTTTTCTGAGTCTGCCCTCGTGAGCTATGGCTTGCCTACTCTGTTGGCACGCTGTGATGAGGCTTGCAGGCATTTTATATTTACATCAAGCAGTCTGGCTTCCTTGCGCACCTGCTGCCACAGCCCACGAACGTCGCTCATGGGTATGGGTTGAGGTCCGGTTTTTCCTGTTCTCAATTCCTCTTCGTCAGAACAGACTGCCTTAGTAAGTTCGTTACTCACAGTTACAATAGGGCTTAATTGTTTTTTTTCTTGTTATGCCAAGTGTATTGTGTTCTCTGTTAGTGTTTATTTAGTGTTTAACACTACCAAAGGGTTAAATAAACTGATTATTTATTTATTTATTTAAATAAATTTCTGTGACAACTATGAATTTTCACATCATTACTCTTCTTAGAGTGCTGCGCCGTGTCATAAGACTTCTTTCTCAAAATTCTGTTCTGGAAGCTTCCAGTGAGGCCAGTCTGCGTCAAGCCCACAATGTCTCACAGCAGTGTGAAAAGTTGATGGATGAAAATGAAAAACTTAAAAAGGTAATGTTGAAAGGTATGTGTAAGGTAGGTTTTGTGTCTCTGATAGCAAACCAGCCAAGAAAAGTTGAAAACCTCGTTTGTGCACAAGAGCAAGCATCCCATGAAAAATTCAGTAAATCAGGAGCTCCTTTGAAAGTACCAAAAAATGGAGGGTGTGTCTTTGCCTTGTGTCTTTCCTCTTTGTGGTTTTGTTAGACAGAAGTAACCAAACAGATGGATTCAACTCACAGATGAAATCACTTTAAAATCATCTTGTTTAGAAAGTGTTTTGATGTTTCTCTCACAAACCATATTCAATGCAAGGTTTCAGACTGAATGTAAAACTTTTAGTGACACATGTATCAGAATGGATCCTGGAGGGGCCACTCTCAGGAAATTGCGACTCACTGGGGTGGAGAGGTGCAGCCTCCCTAAACTTTTGTAGAGTGGAGTATTTGTCTTTCTTTTGTTTATTGATAGTTAAATCTCTCCCAAAACAGGCCATAGAAGATGCAGAAGGAAAAACAGAGAAAGAGATAGAGACACAAGATGAAGATAAAGTGAACCAAGAGTTGAAAGAATTGAGAGAAGCTTTCTTAGAGAAATCCAAAGAGCTTTCGGAAAAAACAGAAGGTGCTGCTAACTATAACACTTTTTAACTTGGGGGGGGGGTGTGGGGGAGAGGTAGGGATGTTAAATTGTCTCAAACCCGTCAGCCCTTTCACTGCTAAGATCTGAATGTGTATTCTCTACACTGATTGCCTTACATTTCTTTAAAATTTAACTCTGAGAATTATTTTCCCTCAGTTATAGGCTATTCTTTTCTCCTTCTCATTGTTTTTCTGCACTAAATTGTATTGATACTGTAAGCAGAAATTCCTTTTATGGTTACTCCAGGGAGTTGAAGGCTCGACTGCCTGTAGTGACCAACATGCAACTATTCTATACAATTTCTATACATCACCCAGCAGATGAGGTAATGAGAAGATGCAACCAATCAGTTGACAAATAATTTACAAGGAACTGTGAATTTGTAGCAGCTCAAAGGAAGCCGCCTAACATCAGGATGCATTTTCTCCATACTGTTCTCTATACATTTGCTGACAAGGAGAATTTGTTTAACAGTCAAGGGCCTCTTTAGTCTGTGATCATTTCCTTTCTTCTCAGACCTTAATGAGTGATTCGGGGGTTGAGATTCTAAGGAGAAATTAGATGACGGTCACCAAAATCAATGTAATCACAACAGCCCAGTTGTAAAGAAAATATTGTGAGGAACTAATCAGAACTGAAAAAAAGAAAAAAAAAAAACTTTAGCAAATTGCTTGAAGCTCAGGAAACTTAAGTGAATAAGTAAGAGTGAGTGTTTGTTTTGTATCTGATTTGTTGCACATTTTCTGACCTTTTTTGGTTTGTTTTTATTCCTGGCAGAGCTTGAAAGGACGAAGAAGGATTTGGCTGCATTGAAAGAACAAGCGACGGGACTGACAAGGGAATATGACAGGCTTTTGGAAGAACATGCCAAAGCACAGGTGGGAGGGGAGGGGAGGGAGGTGTGGGCCTTATTGGCAACTCACAGGTTTAGAAAGAGGACTGAATTAATGTAGAAAGAGGAGTTACGAGAGCATTTACGGTGAAGCTCTTAAGATCCAAATGGTACAATGAGCTGATATTGTAAGGAGAAAATACCAATTGGTCACCCCAGGGTGTGAAAGAGTTTGCAAATGTGGTTTGAGATTTTGAAGAGGTACGAAATGAAACCCTGCAAAAATACCGTTTCCCTACACGCAAAGGTAAAATGTTACAGAACTGTTTAATAGTTATGTTTTTCTTCTCTGTTATTAGCAAAGTTGAAAAGCGCTAGCGTCTGTGGAAACTTAAAAGATAAGCATCCGTTCTGATCGCCTCGCGTGAAAGAAGGAGATTCACAGTCAAGTGCTCTGTCCTTCGGTGTTGTTCTGTACTCGAAAATAAACACATTTTCTCTTAAAATTATTTGAGCGTTTCGAAACTTGATTCTCAATCTTAGAAACTCGATCTCCAAGCCTCAAAACTCGACTCTCGATTCAAGAATGTTTGAGAATGGAGGTTTTGAATCAAGACAGTCATTTTACGAGTTACTGTTAACATACCTGCAGTTTATTTAGTTATTGTTATTTCTCTTCCATTAGGCCCAGCTGGAGAAAGAGGAGAATCAAACCGGAGAGGAAAAGAAAGACAACTAAGAACATGCCACCTTTAGTTAGGTTCATTAAGTATTATTAACATTATACACTTATTTGATAGACCAAACCTAAAGAATAGTCTCTGAAGCTTGCGAGAAAGGACAGAAGTCAGTGGTAAAACTCCCTGTAATGTTTGTTTGAAAGTTGAAGTAAGGGTGCATAAGATTTTATGAACCATTTTGTTTTTGTTTCTCGAGTTTGATTAGTCGTTAAGTGTTAGTATTTATACATTTTAGTCAAAAGTTGTTTATTTCTAAGAATGAATTACATTGCGGTTCACAGTTAGAATTAAATTTTGGTGAAAGACTTGTGCGATTTACAGTTAGAATTAAATTTTGGCGAAAGACTAGTTTTACAATAGAGTTCTTCTGTTGAAGGTGCACCACCATTAGGTTCACAAGTATTGAAAATGTATTTATATATTAATCAACAGATCTTTGTAAACAGTACTTAAATACATAACATTAAAATAGTTGTGGTATGGAATTATTAAGAAATAAAGATTTGCGAATGTTATACTTCCTTTTTTAAGCTTGCAACAGTAGATTCAGGTAGCAAAACAAAGTGCGATGCTGAACGGCGCCATAGTAACGGAGGAGTGAAGAAATGAGGGGACTAATTAAACAGTATTCAACCGAGAAATTTGACGACCATTTGTAAAGAAGTCGCCTAATATTGTGACTGTTATAAAAAAGTTGACTATATGAATTGACTGAACAAAGAGAAATGACTACAACATTGGTGAAGCCAGAACAAAACATTTTATAACTTTATCATTCTTCATTACAAGTAGCAGAAGCTCTGTACACACTACACATGGTGCAGTTCGAGTTACTCAAACAGGAAGGCATGCTAACTAGTTGATTACTCAACACATTGTGCTGTACAAGAGCACAATTGATCCCAATCTATGGACACTGAAAACACCTCCCGCTCGAGCCATCTCTCGTAATTGTTTTTGAAATCGCTGCTCAACTCTATCTTCTCTCCTAAAACACTCAAAACGTTGTTATCTACCGGCTGATACTCGTCCTCTTCGGCGCTTTCTCCCAGGCGGTCGAAATTCTCGAAGCCGTATCGACGGTTGTTAAAGCGATCTACGCATGTGCGCAAGGCGTTTTCTTCACCTTGGAAGTCCCAGGGCCGCGCATCAAGATCTGTTGATTAGTGAAGAGCCATTAAAGGACTCAAGATCACATTTCGAGTGCGAGTTCTCTTGATAAAAGTCAAGGAGAATTATATTTTGAAATAATTCGCCGACGAAACTCGTGAACATAGAAAATTAATTTTTTAAATTTTCGAGTTGCCTGTTTGTATTTTGTTTGTCTTGGTTTCAGTTGGAGAATATCGTGACGAATATGAATTCAAATCAGTGACAGTTACGCGCTTTTTGAATGTTTCAATTGGCTGCCACGTTCTGTTTCCTGATTGGCTATTGCAACAGCAACCCTCAACTTATTATTATAGAAAATCATTCACGTGACTTGCGTCGACCAATGAGGTCAAATTAACGATTAAGGATATGCTCACCGTTCCCATAAGCCCAATCGTCATTGAGCCGATGCCGCACCCTTTGATAGATGGCCGACATCGTCTTCATGTTACTCTTTCTCCAATTCCTTCCTAAAAACTTAGTTTGCGCCTTCAGCAACTAAAAAAATAACACAACGAAAAAAGAACAGATAAACACAAAAATTCATTACATTTGGAATACTTTATTTCATCTAGCCCTTCAATAAAGTAGAAAGTATATGTGCACGATCCTTCGCAGTAAAGCACTATTTGAGCAATAGTGAAAATCAGACCTGAAAAAAATTTCAGGCCTGTACGGGTGTATAGCCATTTTCTAGTTCCAAGAACCTCGCTTTAAAAACGAAGCAGAGTGTTTACACTTTTCCCTGGCGAAACCCCC